TTCCATTGCTTTGGTGAAATTTCTTAATCTCAACAAGCAAAGCGAGACATTTTGCATCACATGACTGCAGAGCTCTTCGCATGTCTTCTACAACTTCTCGCAGACAGTTGTTCTCTGCTCGTAGAATTGCCACCTCCTCGTTTCCCGCCAAAATACTCATGCTGTCTTCTCGCTCGGAGTTGTTCGCTGTGTGGATATCTAAGTGTTCTCTGTTGTCTCCATCTATGAACGAAGTATTGTGGAAAAAATATGTGTTATTTAACCAGAATGTAAAGAGAGTTGAATATGATGCAATAGTTGGGGGAGTCTGTGACACTATGGTAAAAAAAAAAAATGAGCATGCAAAAAGATTATCTGTCTCATTGAGTATTTTGAAGTATTTTTTTTAATTAGTAGAAATTGCTTCTCTGTTTTTTTATCAAGCTTGACCGTAAGTATCATCTAGTAGGTTTAAACGTGTTGATGCCTCTGTCTTTCATTTTGTATATTACGTGGCAGCTGTCAGGGGCCGAACGCAGGGGAAGGGGTGTTTTGGGGACTAAACACCCCTTTAATCTTTCTGTCAGTGGCAGATGCAGGAGGGGGCAGGAGGCCCGAACCCCCCCCCCCCCGGCCAAAAAAAAGTTCAAAAAGCTTTTTTTTTCTTTTTTCTCGACCCCCACCCCCCCCCCCCCCTCCCCGCCGAGAAGAAAAGTAATGCTCCTTACCTCCCCTCCCCCAGCCCCCCCCCCCGGTTATTCGCCGGCTGGCTGATTCGCCGCTAGATATTTTTTCACGAAATTGGCAACAAATATATATATATATTTCGCGAGGTCACATTAATGATGCAATCCAATTATAAAACTTCCCCCTTGAAAAAAAATCCTGCGTACGTCACTGGCTATGAGTAATGTCGGGAACACAAACACATATCCATACCCTCATAATAGGTAAAAGTACTGCACGTACACAATAAATGACATGTGGTAACGTTCTTGATGAGTATAATAAGTAAGGTTGATTTTTGTTTTACCTCACTGTTAAACAAAACAGGTTTTCAAAGTGTTTTTTAAATATCTGTTTATGGTATTTTATTAGTCAAGGTAACGAAGAATAATTTTTCTTACTAACCTTTGAAAATGGGTGTTTTTCCCTGCTTGTAGAGTACAGAGTGAAATACTTCCAAGACGGATCGGTATTGGAAGCATTCTGTGCACATCTGACGTAACACCAACCCCTGTCTATCAGGAACGTTGATGCCAGCTTCAACCATCTCATCATCACTTCTCCATCTGTTCTGGTCTCCTCTTCTCTTCCCTTCATCCTCCACCTTGCAGTCCTCATCGTTGATCTCGGCGAACATATCGATCAGCCGCGAGTGGAAATCTTGGAATTCAATCCCGTCATCATGGCCTTCGAGTCCACTCTCCTCATTCACGCTGTCGTCGTCTGCTCCCAGAAGCAGGCAGAGGTTCTTAAAATCATCCGATGAAATAGTTTCTGGCTCAGCATCATCTCTATTTGTACCAATGATGCGATTTCGGTTGCCAAGGTGAAAGAAGACTTCTTGGATGTACTGGTCAATGCCGGTTGAGAGGACAACGATCTCATTGTTGATGCTGGCTTCTTGATACATCCGGTTATAAGCGTGCGACAACGCGCTTGTCAACCACTGAGACCGTTGGGTTGGAAGGATGACACTTTGGGGCTTCTTTCAAAACAAGATAAATAAATAGAAAAAAAAATATAAATAAATATTATTAAGGGGGAGGGGAGAGGAGGTACAACAAATGGTTGGTGATCATAGTATTTTTGAATTGAGCCAGAGTACAACAATATCAAAATTATCTGAACTTTGATTATGACCCGTGATGACTTGTGTAGCTATACATGATATGTAGGTGGATGAGAGGCTTATTTTTGCTTCAAAATTAAATAGGGAAACGACGAATAGTGAGGTAGATCTACATGTACTTTTGGGTACATCTAATGTAACACAATTTTGTCACGAATTACCGCGTTCCAGTACTTCTCGATCACCAAATTAGATTACAAATGTGATGGGCTTTCTGGACACAATGTTGATCATCAAAAAGCCTTTAATATTTATTTTCTAATTCTAAACCATATTCTTCTCAAAATAACTTTCTTACATACCTCAACTGTCGATTGAATGTCACTCTTCATGATTGTTGTGTGTTCGTCGTCTGCAAGCATCTTTTATATATACTCCTCCTCTTAAATGACATCTGTATCGCACGATGGATGGTGAGCGAATGAATTCACTTGACACTAACTGGTCCATTACCAACGATCCAATCATCTCTCTCTGATCTCACTCTCAATACCTCTGATTGCATTTTCTCTCTCCCTGTAACTCGCCCCACTTTTTGTCTTTCTCAATCCTTCTGTCTTTCTTTCCATCTCTTTCTCTTTCTCTCTCTCACTCTCTCTCTCTCTCTCCCTCTCTCTCTCACACGTTCTCCTTTTTTTCTCGTTCTTTTTCTATCTCTTTATCTCTCGCTCTATCTCTCTTCTTTTTTTTTTAATTTCATCTTTTTTTCTCTAAAGTTTGCCTTCTTCATCTCTTCATGCATTCGCCTTCTCATTGTCACACTATATTCGTCTGCTCCTATCTCTCTCTCTCTCTCTCTCTCTCTCTCTCTATCTATCTCTCTCTCTCTCCCTCCCTCCTCCTCCTCTCTCTCTCTCTCTCTATCTCTCTCCCTCTCTGTATCTATCCTTTTTCATTTATCACTCTTTTCTCTTTGTCTTAATTTCACATTTCTCATGTCATGGCATTACAAACGACCTCTCCCGCTCTCCCTCTCTCTCACACACACATCCACTCACAAGGCACACACTCTCTTCGTACCATTTTTGTATCGCCCACTCTGCGGTTTACCCACTTTCCTAATGTTCAAGAAAAATATCCTACTTGTTGCCCCAACATGATATTCATATATATTCCGATATTCTTCAATTTAAAAAACCTAACTTGCTAAATAAAAAAACAAAACAATCGTTTTTGTGTAGTCTGGTTCTTGCCAGAAATATTAGGATTTAAATACACTAAGGTAATTATTGCTTGCTAATCCCGCGATTCCATTCTATGCATATAGAATACCATTCCGACGAATTTCACACATATACTTACACACACGCGCACACGCACATGCTATTCTCCCGTATATAACACAAAGGTGTTACTTTCATGATGAATTCATCACCTATCACTCATCCCAGGCTCGCAGACATAGCCCCTTGTGGCAAGACTGGAAGAGGGATAACAGCGTTTGGGGTTTCCCAGAGGCGGGTACACGTTGCGTATTGCATGCCCGATTAGCCGCGCGATAATCGCCTCATCATTGGCGCCTGGCTTACGCTGCAATTGCTGGAAATAATCAGTTTTTGTATCATCAGGCGTCATATTTTCCCCGTCAAATTCAAGCTTTGTTTTGTATTTATGATCACATAAACTCATATTCTCAATTCGATTATTAGGTTTTCAATATACTATTATATTTCTTTGTATTGTAATGTGCATCTTAACATTTCTGTATTATTTTTTTTTATTATTGTATGTTCTTTAATAATGAGCACCATGGTAGGAAAATTCTTTGCTGATCTTGTTTTTTTTAATCCTTTATCAAGGAATAAATGAATAATATTGCATTGAGAAAGGAATCCCGTCCCAAAGTTTTCTTACTACTAATTGCCTAATACAGGATTCTTTGGCAAGAGCACAAGTTCTAAAATTAAATGAAATAAACAAATGTTATAACAAAAATTGTGTATGCTATTTGGAGTAAAGAACTTCTGACATCTTTTTGGAAACCAATTCTGCACTAATGTTAGCAACTCGTGTTTACCCTGTAAATGATTATGTTTAGACCTTTACTCTGACAATTTATTTGTATATTATTTTAATTTCCGTTGTTGTTTGCAACTACATGTACGAGATAACTTCGAAGTTTATAACCACGAATATCACTTCAAGTTGACATATTAGCGTGTGTACCTAGTTATATATTTGATAACTCAGCACCTCCTAAAAAGAGATCAAATTACCCTGGATCTGCCGCTGTTTGATAATAATTATAGAAGATATACGGTTGAAGAGCTTTAAGTTGAAGCTGGTTCTTCTGAAGTAGTGTACTAAATGTCGTTTTTATCCTAGCCTCTTCGGTTAACTTGATTGAAACCCATCAATAAGTTTTCGTGACCATGCTGACTGAAATTTGTTATCCCGTTAAAACTGTTAAAAACGAAAAAATCAGCCCCTGCAATCCTTGTAATTCAAGTGAAACTCACAAGGCTACACCATCGTTCGCGTATAGTCTGAATAATGAATCACAGCTCTCTGCGTCAATTCCGGTCCTGTGCTTCACAAAAGGCTTTGGCGGTCGATTAGACACATAAACGAAAAGGGCTCTACTCGGTCTTGAATCGTTTTTTTTTTATCACTAAAATCCTTCTGGATATCCCGCCAATTATACCTTCTATTTTGTTGATACATATTTGACTTATTACTCATCATGATCATGATCGTGTATGACGATTTTTGTTTTTATTGGAGTGGAAAAATTGTTTCACAAATAAAAAGGAATTTTGTGAAAATTGGCCTACGTGTAATCATATTCCTTTTGCGAAGCGGTAGACTCTCATTCGAGCCATGTATACTAGTTCTCAATGAGGGTTAATTATTTAATTTGAAAGCTTTTTTCTAAAAGAGAATGGATTTTTTTCCCCTTCTCAACCATAAACTAAAGGTGTAATATTCAATAAACAACCATGCAGTGTCAAAAGAAATCGGCGAATCTGAAGGGGCCATTTTAAATTGGGAAATGCGTACAATTGGGATGATCAGACAAAATTTAATTTAAGAGCGAGTTCCAAACATTTTATAAATGTGATGAAATTGGGTGTCTGTTTGATCATATTTGCACCAAAAGAAGTGAAATAGAGGTAGGATCATTTCATATATGCAGAAATAGTACATACAGAAATAAACTAAGGAGTCAAGATTGAAAACATAACGATTTATTACTTCTGATATCCATCAAACTATCATATTACAAAATGAAGATTGTAAAGTATCATCACAAACAGGATTCAATGAGACATCATTAAAAGAATAATTGGAAGATCGATCAAAGGTAATAATATCATAACGCGATAATAGGTGTGAAATCTCATGTAGAAATAAAAAAAAAGATTAAGAAAAGGAGAAATTGGAGTGGAAGAATAGAAAGAAAAGACTAGAGTGAAAGGAGGTAATATAATAATCTACGCCTGACCATGATTTCGATCAATGTAACAGAATTGACCATGGAACATTTTGCTTGAGCATGGTTCGTAGAATTGTATCGAAATTACAAAACCGGATTTAATTCAACAATCATGGTCTGAGCTCAAAATGAAAGGACATCCTATCATCAACAAATTGATAAATATACAGTAATAGATGATTCAATATTTACTTCGATATAAGACGTTCTTCTAATATCTGTTGATGATTGTAATAGTATGAGGCCTATGTTGATGTAGAATCAGTCACACTCAGTCGTATCCAAATTATACGGTGAACCAAGAACTTTTCATGACTAGTTTTCACCTTTCCCATTTATGAAACAGATATAACAGTTTCTTATTCTTATTATATCTACAAATTATCATAATGAGATATCTAAAAAAAATAGTTTTTAAGTGGTTGATTTAATCAAAAACACTGAAAAGCGCCTAATAACTGTCCTAAAGGCGCTTTACATTGCAGTTATTTCCCCAGTCAGTGTGGCAGTGTGCACACTCTCTCTTTACTTCATGGGGGAGGGGGTTCTTGCACATACGCACAATCAAATATATATGTATGACGATTGTACTCGTTCGCCTAACTATTTATAAACCTGGGAAGAACGATGCAATTAAGATAACGATACCTTCCTGATAAAAATAATAAGCCACGAGACTACCTCCAGTATTCACTTTCCTTTCGTACATAAACCAAGCCTCTGCAGAGCCGCCCTTTTTTAAATTTCTATTAAAAGAAACAATAAGTAGTCTTTGAAGTGCACAATAGTTTAAAGTTTCTAGAAAATATATTTTGAAGTACAGCAACTATAGCAGCATAAACGTATGTCTACATGAAACATTATCGTACTGTAACAGTTAAAATGGTAAAAGAGCACGTCTTTCTATGTAAAGGTGAAACAACTATTTCATCTCATGTTAATTGTCTCATTTCTTTACTATTTTATTTAAAATGTTTACATGTGTTTTATAATGACTATATTTAATGCATGATTATGATCTCACGTTTACAGGCATCAACGCTTTTCTGTTCAACATCTCACACATTCCCGTCGAATAAACGATGTGACACAAAATTATAGTGGCAAGACATGCTGGATTATGATAGGACTAATCTGAGATGTTCCTGTCAATCCAAGAGTGGAGTCGTAAGATCTTGGTGTAATAGCCGTACTTGCTATCCCTTGCACAACCTTCTCCCCAGCTCACTATCCCTAGCTGATACCACCTGTTTTCATGAAGCATGGCAAAGGGTCCACCACTGTCCCCCTGGCACGCATCTTTCTTCTCCTCAGCACTGGCGTACCCCGCGCAGAACATGTACCTCGTCACCTCAAAAGTGGTGGCATCTTTACACTTCTTGCTTTTAACGACTGGCAGGTCAACCTCTGTAAGATACCTTGGGTATGGCCCGCCCTCTGCGATCTGCCCCCAACCCGTTACTCTTCCCATCATGTCGGGCTGCAGTAGCATTTTAGCCAACCAGGCAGGTGGAATGCATATCGGGCGAATGTAGTCCGTGAATTCCGCAAAAGGTTGCTTGAGGCGGATGAGAGCGATGTCCTTGTCAAAGCTTTCTTCGTCGAAGTCTTCGTGCTGGATGATCTGGTCGACCTCGGCAATGACCTGATGGTCTTCGCTCGTCAGGGTGTCGTGGTCGCCGAAGTAGAGAAGAATGTCACGAAATTGGAGCTGGTAGAGGACGATGCAATGGGCTGCAGTAATGACCCATCGCTGGTTCAGCAGTGTGGCGCCGCATACGAAAGTTCGGTCTGCTTTGTGCCAAATACGACCCATATAAGGAGCAGAGCCAGGGAGGGACTGCTGCCCACCTACCACTCTACCATCCCTGGGTCCCGGGGTGGTGAACATTGTGGCTTCAGGGGATGTGACTGTCCCACAAACTGTATGATATAACAGAAACAGTAAAAAGAACAGGTACTGGCTGGCACTACATCCACAAGGTCATCGTCGTTACTATTTTTGTCAATATTGTTGAGATCCTAACACAACCATCTTCACCAACATTTTTACCACTATCGTTATCTTCATCAAAACCATCATCACGTTCACCGCCATCATCATAATCATTAGCCTACTTATTCCTAATCATAATGACCATCATTCTCCTCAATATCACCAATCATTCTCAGTACCGTCATATTTTTGATATTATTCAAAGCACTCTCATAGTATCGTTGAAAAAATGAATTATTTCTTTTAATACAAGTTGGTTGTACGACGTGTATGAATGCGTCATACATACCAAAAGGTATTTAAACAGTAAGTCTTTTTCAGTTTACCTTCTGTTATGTTAATGGTGGGCGGGTTCATTGTATCTGCTACGGTGAGCCAGGCATAAGCCTTTCCCCTTTGATTGCCCCGTTGGTCGGATACGATACATGTGTACTTGCCCGAGTCTTGACGAACAAGGTTCCTTATCAGAAGGCTTCCTCCTGAAATCTAAAAATGGCATTAAAGATACATCATGATCAAAACCTCAATATTTTCACGTAGGCACCGACTTAGTGCGCATATGATACTATTTACAATCAACAGGGCAGAGATCCACCCTTTGTTAGTTTAAACTAAAAGACACTTCTTATCCGCAAAATATTCATAACAATGTTTATTGTGAACTGTGCCAGATGCTCCGACCAAAAACGCTTATTAAGCTACCTTTTTTGGTTGCAAAACATCAGGAGACTAGGAGAATATGGTTTAGTTTCATGACGACATGACGACCACTGGTAGGCTAACCATTTCCAAAATCTAACCAATCATGATGAACTCCTTAAAAGTAGAACTTACTTAACTCTTATTAGTTGCCCTAAACTATCCTGCTCTATTCTAAAGAGCTGCATTGAATTTTACTATGCTTTCAGTAAGGACATATCCGTGGATTTTATACAAGAGGGGGCACAATGCTGGAAACAAATCCAAAAAATCAATCTTCACATTATGTTAATATCAGTTTTATTAGTAAATATGGTTAAAGTATCTACGAATAGAAAAAGCAGAAGTTTTTCCCAGGTGCATTTAGTATATTGTTGGTTAAACACTTGAAAGCAAGGCACAGCAATACTACAAGGGGCACATGTTTTGGATCCGCCATTGTTGGGGGGAGAGTACCGGTAGGATTGAAGACACTAACCAGAATGATTTGGTCTGTTTGATGGACTCTTGAACCATCCTTCCACCAGGTGACGGAGTCAATGGCTGACTGGGCTTGACATTCAAACAGATGGTGATCACCAACGTCCAAGGACGCGTTGGCGGGAACGGCTTCAAAATGGCGGTATGGATCGAAAGCTGCATAGAAGTTTCAGAAAATATTTCCACATTTACTGAATGATGTGAATTAATTAACATGTTGTTTCAGTCTTTTTCATAAATCGGAAAACAGAGGTGTATCTAAAAATGTGAGTACTGGGGGTGAAAAAGTCCATGTACTCGGTTTCGGGAGGAATACGGGTGCCCGTGAAATGTAAGGCATTGCTGTAGACCCACTACAGTTGTTATCGGATAAAACGAGGGCTTTACTCTGTAAACCAGCTCCTCCTTGCTGGATATGCCACTGTATGTGGCTGCTGGCTGCTGCCATACTATACATTTTCAGTTACTTAGGTATTTGGAATGTTTTACAGTATGTATCTGAATTATACCCCAGTCAACTCGTTAAGACGGACACGAAACCGATGATAGACCGAACCCTTTCTGAATAATATAATAAAAAAGCACTACTAAATAATCAGTACACAAATTTAACGATTATTTGGTTATCGCTTTGTTTTGAGTCTCTTTGGCGGGTTTGCCGTGTAACTGGGGTATCAGGTAATCACATAAAATATCTCGTCGATATGATCTACTTAAGCCCTTATTTGCTTGCAGTGTTAACTAATGAACGATGAGCTACTTACCAAAGTCAACCTCCACTCTTAAGCATTCTCGACCTGAAAAGGAAGCCACGCATGCGTAGTGACCTTGGTGATGAGTGTCAAAACCAGGAATAAGGAGGTCATTAGAAGGGAGTATGTAGATTCCGTTAACAGAACCTGGCGTATAAAAAAAAGGGATAGAACAAAGTACAACAGAAAACTGTATTAGCCATGCATTCAACTTAATAAGGAGAATAGCTCGCCCTTTTTCCTTCTTTTTGGGAGGTTTCTTTAGTTTATTCCCTCACTTTGGGGTATAATAAAATACATTGTTTGAACAAAACAGAAACAGAAAGTTATAATTTTATAATCTCACAGAAATGAAAAAAGAAACAAAAAGTCGTAATGGCTACATTGAGTGATTTGAAGTTGGGTGTTTAGGGCTGGTGTTAACACTAACACCAGCTTAAACACCGAAATGGAAATCAGCTGGTGTTAAGGCTTTGACCTCTGAATATCGTCAACTTCCGGTAGCTAGTGTTATTGATATTGCAAAATTGTCGTCTGCTCAACTGACCTTTGTGGCTGGTGTTAATATTTTACGTACAAATGCCCTATTCACTAACACTACCCCTAGGAATTAAGCAAATGTTGATTTCCAGTTCGGTGTTAGTGCTGTACCAGCACAACAGTCAACGCACGAACGACGCTAATTCATCGTCTGACGATCAAATGAAAATATGTGAAACAGGTCTTTTACTATGTGTTTCATATATTCCTTTGTGTGAAATGAGTTATTTTATAAGACCAGAGAAATAGGTGTAAATTTATTCTGTGCTTTTCCTGATATCTCTAGTTTTTATGTACTATTTTAAATCATCGTCGTGAAATCGAGTCTGTGTGGCGATACCACGGTGCATCGATATTGATATTGGTATCAGGCCCTTAATTTCATCACCAAATTTTTAGCTCGATTTAAGAGTCTCTGAATGCTCTAAACACTAACACTAACTAACACTAACACCCAACTTGAAATCACTCATTGTATATTAATCTTCTAAAGAATTAATTTTCAAAGGTGGTGTATCCCTTTTGCAGCCAACATCAAAGTATGTAGAACTTAGCAGGAATTAAGAATTTGCCACGTATGTCCTATCTTTGATATTTAAACGTTCGCAGTGTCCTAGTATTCAAATTATGCAAGGAAACCCGTTTACTTGCTAGACTTCACTGTCAGACACTATTGAGTTACTGACTGACTTTTTTTCTTTGGTAATAACATACATAAAATGAGCCGTAAAGGGTACATGAGCAGTTGCCTACATCAATAGCCCACTTCTTGTAATGGCCAAAATTAAACTGATTGAATCTTTGTGCAGCCCAAAACATACGACCATTCGGTACAAGGGTCTGAAAATCACACTATTTAATAAAAGGACTGCGATCCCTTAATGCAATTCGACAACTAATGATCGATATTTTCCCACCAATTTTTTTTTTAAGCACTTTCATTTTGAGTGAAGTCCTAAATTAGTGTTATCTTTCAAATGCCGTTGGTATTTAACCTTTTGATTTTGTTTGGCCTGCAAATGGGACAAAGTACCTTTAACATATGCCATTTAGTTCAGAATTTGCTCATTGTATTATTATTTTCCAAAGCCACTTGCTTTTCAAGCTCAAAAAATTTGAAACATCTAAACAATGGTCTGTTTCCTGTATCTGTTATCATATAATATCATTTTTTTTCTCACTAAGATTATACAAAGGTTTTTAAAAAATTGTTATTTCTTTTATATCCAAATAATACAGTGTCAAAATTCAAACTTATATAATTACATGTACTAGTAATATCTTTATACCAGGCTCGAAACTCTGACCATATCGGCCTTACATATTCACACCCCCAAAATATGCTCCATTGTTTCCGGGAAATTTTCATAAAAATTACATAGTTCTGAATCAACCAGTTTCATTTGATGTAATCTATAATTAGTTGGAAGACAGTTTGTTTAAATTTTGTACTAAATATGTCTTGCTTTAACTTCAATAGTTAATATAAAAGGTAAGATTTATATGTTATGTCTAAGTTTCTGTTTCCAAGCTATAGGTATGGCAAGAACAATAGTCCTCCATAGTATTAAGAAATTCGAGGGAACTCCTTTTTCAACCCGATATATCAAATGGACTTATTGACCCATCATTTTTATATAAATCACTTACTAAGTTTAAACTTGACTGTTTTCAAAGAAATTTCAAAGAAATAACTGTTGTAATCTTGAATTAAGAGGAACTTAAAATAGGTTATCATTAATTGTATAGCTTCCACTTGAAACTAGGTTTTTTTTGTTCATTATATATATATATATATATATATATATAACAGTGAAAAATGTGTATTCGAACGTGTCACGATTCGGACGCCATTATTGTATCATGTGATGTCTATGTGAAGATATTTTCAATACTTCAATAATTTCATTCAACTTACAAACCTATATTTGACTCTTTTCATAACTTTTCTTTATCAAAGAGCAGCAATCGAACCTGTCATGAGACGGACGCCATCTTGTTGTACCACGTGATGTAACTACCTTGGGTCAATCTTGAATTAAAAGCAATGTATTCTACTGACACTACTTCATATCTACGTATTCTGCCATCTGCTGCTCATAATGTCCCTATGTGTCGACAGCTACGTCCCACAATGTATCACCAAGTGCGTGATTATGCTTGGGTACAGGAACCGGAAATTGCTCTTTATATATGTATGTACGGCTTCACCAAAAGATGGCGCAATTGAAGAAAAAAACTTACATCAACGGCAGCAGCGCCTTCGAGAAGAAACTTCAATTAAATATTTACGCTTACAAACTATATTTTAGATTTTTAATAACCTTTTATTTTGTACTGAAAGAGTTGGAAACAAACCTGTCATGAGTCGGACGCCATCTTTGTACCACGTGATATCGGCCTGCGGTGAGTTGGTAGTGCAGGATTGTTGGACCAGGTCGTCCTGTACGGGTGAGTAGTCTTCGGGGGTCTCCTGGAAGGCCAGTTCACTGCTACATTCACCCTCGGGCGGCGGTTCTACCATTTCTATTATTTGACACAAATGATGAATAATGACTGGTAGGAATAACCGTCTTCTTTATCGATACATTTTACATTAGCACTTTAAGTATTTCACGTTAAACTTGTTATTAAAAGATTTTCGAAGTTTAGTTTGTGTTATCACTTGTATTACTTGTATATTTCAGTTTAGGACGATAATTGATCATGATAATGCCGGTTGTTATTGTTTTTTTTATATCACGCAGTCTCTATATAAGTATACAGCAATGTAATTAAATCAAGGAAAAAGAAAAGAGAAATAACACTCTTTAAAGACTATGAATCATTTTGTTTAATTTATGAATATTTGAAATAAGTTTCAACTGGAAAGTGGCAAGACCGACGTATGATCCGATTTTATTTTCCTTCACTATGACTGCATTGTTTTCAACTGCAATAGTATATCTTTAACTGATTACTTACACCAGTGCCGAAAAAAAGTAGCAGCAAATGAACAAACAAATGAATAATCCACCAACCAACCCACATAAATCGTAAGGGACCATGTAACGTGGAAACCAAATATAAGCAGGCACGTAGCCACGGGGGGGGGGGGGGGGGGGGGGGGGGGCACGGGGGTGGGGAGGGGCACGTGCCCCCCAAAATTTCCAAGATCGGTTGAACTTTTTTAGACCCCTTTTTTTTACCTCGATCGATTACATGTATGTGACCCCCCCCCCCCCCCCCCCCCCCAACATTAAACTATGGCTACGTGCCTGAATATAAGGCCGGGTTTTAGATTGTTGCATCGCGTCGGCTAAGTGGACAGTAACGTTATGACGCCACTCTACCACTAGGTCATCGATCAAGTTGATCAACGATTACATTTATTTTCAATACACACTTTAATAAAACTTGTTTACATTTATCTTTAATAAAATGTTTCCTGTTCGTTCCCAAAAGTTTGTATGACTTACGATAAAACGTATCCTCTACGGCGTACAATTCAACTTTGCTTTTACCTAAATTTCCTTGATAACCTCAATATCCAATTTTACTCAGTCCTTAATTAACAAATATGTACAAGCAAACCAGCTGATATGTTATGCTCTGTATTCGAAATGCATGCGTATTATTATTTTTATCATCATATTATTTGAAACAAAACAGACAATGTGTAACGTGAAATATGAAATATGAAACCAAACCGAAATGGAACTGAACTGAAACCGAATTGAAGTCGACTTAAACTGAAAATAAAACATAAAGCTTATTACCTTCGCAGACGATTGGTGTCCCAAGCCATTCTCCACCGTGCGCGCAAACTCGTCTTGGTTTCCCGCTCGTTCTGACGTAGCCGGGTTCACATTCTAAGATACACAGCTTGCCCTGATCGTACGGTGGGTTGCATGGCCCTGAGAATATGGCGTGGTTTGGCACATCCAATGCCTCGCATTGCTCCTCTGTCAACAGAATGATAAAGTGAGATCTTACAATTGATCCAAAAGTATAAGATTTGCCTTTAAGAATATCAATATTAAATAGTAACTCTCTTTTCCTTCATTGAACTATTTTGCTGGAGAAATAAACAAATAGCATAGTTCGGTTTAATACTCCAGTACATTTGTTAAGGATTGCATTGCTCCCCCTTCTCAGAATGACAAAAAGAGTGAACTCCATTGAAGTATTTTTCTAACTACGTCGAATCAATAAAGTAACAGAGTGAAGTATTTCTCACAAACATATCAATATTAATTCCCCTTTCCATAAGTTTAAATAACAATTCTTCCACCCGCTCTTTTCTAATACAACTCTTCAAGCAGATTGATACAGGTTAGCGTAAAAACACCTTAGGTTTTCGAAAATGTTATATGAAGATGCTAAAATGCCCCATTTTGCTTTCAATGTTGCAGGATGGAGACTATTTATGCCTCGCCAAATATAGTTTAAATAATATAACCATCTGATATTGACCTTCGAAATGTTCATTGAAAGTGCCCCACAACCCACCATTTACTTTCGTGGGTGAAGGATAACAAGAATCATGATATCAGCCCTTACCTCTGCAAATAGCACTTCGTGGTATGTCCCAGCTTCCCGAGTTCTGGCAGATGACGTAATCCACGGCCGGAACGAGACCTGAGTAACATATGACCGAGCAAGTACTTCCGGCTGATCTGTCACATGACTCCTCTACGCCTCCATATATGAAGTCTAGTGGACACTGAATGTCCAGTTCTGAAAGTATATTCGGCATGATTATGAGAAGATTGTGTTACTATAGTGAGATGCCTCAATATGTTGGACTGGAACATATGGGACAGAAGCGCAATTATCGGATGCTGGATTTGTTAACCTATCAATGTTTTGTTTTCATAACACACTAATTTTTTAACCAAATTGTTAATTTTGCTACAATGAAAACGACATCACTTTTGTAACAAATGTCCATTATGCGCTTAATTTTACACACTGTAAAACGTTTTGTCTTCCTATGACATTCAGTATGAATCTACATATCTACAGTACTGAAAAAAAACATTTAAAGCACGATGACTGCAAATGTTCCATCTGTATCTCACGTTCAATTGATGTTAAACTAAGAATGGTAAATAAAGATGTAAACGGGAGTAATGATAGATTTATTACCTGAGACGCATGTTACACCATCTTGTGCCAAATCTACTCCATCTGCGCAAGCGCATGATCTACCAATGGCTGTCGGCAAGCAGAGAGTTGAACAGCCTCCGTTGTTCTCAGAACATGAATTGATTCCTGTTGATCAGATTGATATTTCATCAGTAATACTGAAGTATGGAATATCTATGATCATTAATGAGGTGAGAATATCTTTTTAAACGTTTTATACAGAATATCGGACATGTCATTATCATAGTCACTAATATGAGGAAGGCCTGCATGAATTAGACATACGGGCAAAAAAATGTGGTTGCACCTCGAAGCCTATCTACAGTATTCAAGTGCAACGAAGCCTTCAAACAAGTTTCTGTTTAGCAGCTTTCTTGGTAGTCCGGAGAATAAATCAAGAAATATTATCTTTCTCTCTTTGTTCCAAAATTGACAACTGTATGAAAGTATTTCATTGTATTAAATATTACCTCTTTTTCATTTCTCAATGTTCTTCGGATTTGAGTGCCAGACAGACGGCGTACAATTTGATCTTACACAAATTTGTCATCGCTTCTCCAATTTAATCCTGCAAAATCATAACTTTGTTACCATCTAGTTTAAGATGAAATAACAATTTTACCGTCTGGTCACACATATGAATCAACACAAAGCTCATAATTCATAACTCAAATGTTAAGATGTATTTTTTCGGGATGGTATAGGCATTCAGTTCTAAAATCTAACCTGATGGAAGAGACGCGTTGGTGACCGCAAAGAGGGCGTTTGGTCTCGTAAAGTCTCTTTTACCAAGCACCACGTTATTCTGTCCGGTTAGTTTGTCCGCCTTCAGCAAACCCTTGACCATCCAGTCCGTCCAGTAGACCGACTGATCGATGACCGATATTCCGAAGGCGTGACGTCCGTCACCGAGGTTGAGAACGACGCGGCGGTCACGACCGGAGAAGTCACTAGACTCAATCACATCTAGACCACCATCACACCAGTAGAGACGATTTTCTGATTGAGAAGAATTAGGAGTGGCAAAAAAGAAAGAAATAGGAGTGATGGGTTGCACTCACAACTTTAGATATATATGCTTATGATACTACTAAGACAGTGTTGATACAGAGGTTTTACATTCTCAACACTACAATTTTTTTGATATCCTGCTTATTGGTACATTGTGTGTGACAGTGGATTGTTATACATTTAATTATTCTCTATAATAGTTACCATTGCCACAGTTCCTTATATACTCAGTAAGGGAAAATATGAAACATAGTAGAGCATTTACCACGTATTTCCTGAAAGTTTTGAACAATTGCTCAACCCACATCCTATGGTTCTAGAAAATAGCTGATAACCCTAATAAGAACTTCTTCCCAACTTACCTTCAAAGTCAATGGCTAACCCATTAGTCCATCTTAAGCCTGTGTTTATGATGACTCTGCGCATGTCACCGTCCATGTACGACCGTTCAATCACAGTACTACTCCGCCAGTCGCTCCAAAACATTATCCTAACGGCAATGGGAAGTATGATGTTAAATGATCATTTGAAGTTCTTGAATTTCAAATAATCTGATTATAAATGTTTTGTTAACACGAAAATTCATATATTTTGTACATTACTTGTCCATAATTTTCAAGCATTAGAGGGAAAATACGTTACCATATGTAATCATCATAATTTCAAAAAGAGTCCACTGAAATTGTTGATCTACATCAAAACTATGATAAACCTGTGGGAACACTTCATAAATATTAGAAACATTATGCTACGATTTAAAGCAGTAGACTTTTTAGAATGTGATTTAAAAAATACTAAAAGCGTACACTATAAAGAGAGTTTATCAAAACGTCCCTCCCTTCTAAAATACAGCAAAGAAATAAAATAACAGAAAGTGAAAAAAGAGAAATTGTTGGTATAGGTCAGGGTCTTTACTTCTAGTTGGGTTAAAATCGTAGAAGATCGCATGAATTGGCTTCGTCATCTTTTTGAAAAGCTTTTTTTTTTAAATAATAATTCGTTCCTGACACTCTTTTCCTTGAATTGACCATTACATTGCATTTGGATCACTTTTGTTTGTAAATAAATCTTCATCAATCATTATTGTTATATGCCTTACCCTTCAACAGGATGCAGAACGATTGCTCTGGGTTTAGCGATGTTTGTAACCAGCGTTTTACGGTCTGAGCCATCAAGGGTAGATACAGATATAGAACGTGTTGCAAGATCCGACCAATACACCAGCTTCGAGATGGAATCCACTGCAATGCCGTCTGGTTCTGAAAACAGCATGGGTACAAGCACTCATTCTCAAAATGATTACTCCTTAAATGAACATCAGTGGAAATACACTCTTTTTGGACTCATATTACGGGTCACTTCGTTATTGAGATGAATCCACGCTAAGATTTAAAAAAAGAAAGCAAGTAGAATCCACCCACTAAAGAGTAGTTCAATCTCTTTTGGAGTGGATTGACTCCAAAGTGAAGTGATCCTTTATTAAGTGATTCCTAAGATAGTGAATTTCCATTCCACTGCATAAAAAGAGTACAAAAGCATAATGGAGGTAGTACTGTATCGAAGTCATACCCTTATACTGCCCTTTAATGACACATTTTGTTGATACCACTCAGAACGCCTGAAGTGGGTACCGAATCAATCAATCTCCGACAAGTTAGGGCCTACCGTACGAAGTAATAACTTATAAAGGCTGGTAATGTAATGGTCGTAAAAATATACTGAAACCAATTCTCATCATAATGTACAATCGCGGGTAGAAATTATGTATTACATGTTTAAAGAAAGATCATTTAACGAATCATTTTCTCCCAGATTTTTGTCATTGCTGTACTTTCTCTGTAACAAAAAGAAAAACAAAAGAAAAGGTAAATGCCAGTAAATTAGCATTATTATTCAAATCTAAATCCATTGAAACCATGAAGGGCGTTAACTCTGTATGAAAGTATATTAGTAAACGCCCTCCTCGCTTTCTGTAGTCTGTAGACGATTTGTCCTTCTTACGTCCGATGTTTTCTATGGCTATAGTGTCTTGTCGGCTACCATCTAGAGACGCGCGGTTTACTTCCCGCTTTTCGACGTCTGTCCAGTACACCATCCTTTCCACGGGATCGAAGCTAATACCGATGGGATTTTTGACCCCATTCAATCGTAGTGCTTCCGGTTTAAAGTTTGAGTAGAGATCAACTTGGTAGATACCCCGATGATACGTGTCCGTTACAAGGAGGAAATCATGATCTACCAAATCTGAATGAGAGAAAAGGACATAAATTGGTCTGAGAATTGAGCAATTCTATACAACCAAGTTTCGCATACCAGATAATATAACACCGATATCCTCTTTAAAATACAACCTGTCTAAATTGATAACTAAATGGTGGTGAAACGTCTATTTTGATTAATGCACAATGATGAGGGTATGATGAAAGATCAACTCATTTTTTCTTTCCGAATATTGATTATTATTCATGAATTTTAAAATATACAACTTACCTGAGTGACAGTCCCTGCCATTGTCTGCTAAATAGTAGCCCATTGAGCAGTGGCAAACATATCCATTCGTCTGCTCGTAAGAGTTTAGACATAGCTGTTGACATCCACCATTGTAAGATCTGCATGGATCTAAAAACAGATTTCCTTTCATTAATCATGTTATTAACACTAATAGTACTATTATTATTATTATTACCGAAACTGAAATACTAATCTGAATGTCGCTCTGGTGATTTAGCATTCGAGTGCTTCAAACATACTGTTGTCAGGGAATGCTAAGTCGTCCGAATCGATCCCCGACAAGGCACGCACTCACGTCCTCTTTAAACAATGCAATTACCTGTATTGCTGATAATAAAATTAACAATATTTTTGAAAATGTATAGCATGGGTAATACAAGCCAATTGCATGCTTTGAAATGCCATTATTATTTGAAAGTCGTTGCAACTTCTGAATAAAAACGTGTATACCATGATAACTTTGAAATAAACTAGTGTCATCGTAAACATTCGACGTACCGTATAATGATATCACTAGATCATAATTATATGAAAACAATGTTTTGCCTAATGAGGAGGTTTCATTTCATAAGGCAGTGACAATGTATTTAGTAATGAAAGAGAATCGAAAGAAGTGATTTGATCTTACTGTGAATTATTTTCTGCCTTGTATCCGCATACATGGTGATACCATACACCTCTTCTGTCATTGGAAATGCTCTCACTGCTTCACCAGTCTCCTTGTTGCTTATGAATATTCCCTGATTCGGTCCAAGTTCAGTCCACATGATGTAATCCTACAAGAAAATACGACTAAACGATATATATGTTTATATTGTAAACGTTAACCCCTCTATGTAACTGATAACTATCACTTGTGGATATTTATTAAAAAACAGCCACGCATTGCTTATCATTCATTAAATATATAGGTTATATCTATTTTCTTTCAACAGCCACATGGATCAAGATTATCTCATGTTTTCTTTGTATTTTATTTGTCTCTTATTTATTTATAGTAAATTGGGAAGTTCCGACTACTGTTGTTCTTGGGTTCTTGTCAAGCAACATACAAATACCTATTTGAAGTCTTATGCACTGGAAAGTGACATGCATTTTTATGTTTTTGCAATCGTCTACACGTCATCCCTATTTAAATACACACACGCACGCACACACACACACACACACACACACACACACACATATATATATATATATATATATATATATATATATATATATATATTTGTTAAGCGTTTTAATGATTTCTTTATGTCTGCATTTATTGTGTCATTTCATGATACGTCCTATCAAATCATTATGGCCCGGTCCCACTGGCCGATGGACACAACACGTATGCATAGAGGACACAGCGGACGAGCAAAATTTCGAGGGTGGCTCCATCCGTTTTCATCCGTTCCAGAAAAGGACAAAATTTGCAAGAATTTGCCAAAACGGAACGGAAAATAACGGACGTGGGTAGTATGTAGCGGGGATGTTAAACGGATGTTCATCGGAAGCCTAGCGGATGAAAGCGGATGGAAGTGGATGACAGCTTTGAATACTTTATATACGAGATGCATACGCTTACATCCTTTCTATTTCCGTGCTGCTTACGATGTATAGACGTTCCATGTACCTTATCTTTACTTCCTCTTTCCGTTTTCAGCTGCAGCGGATGTGAGTTGCGAGGATGCTCAGAGGATGCCCAGAGTTCGTAATTAGGATTTGCGCATGGGCTGTGGAAAGTATCCATCGTGTCTAAGATCTGTGGATATTTTGGGGTCATGCGTTCCAGAGCTATTTACGAACTCGCTTATTAACTCGACTAGTAAATTGATCCTTTTGTTGTTGTAGTTGTTGCCTTGTTCATACCTTGTAAAGGGTGACCTCGAAAAATAACGAGTTTGGTTTGGAAATGACCTGTCTAATTCCTCCACCGTCATAGTCAACACTGCTGATAATCCCTCGAGCGATGTCGGCAAAGTAAAGTCTATATATTGATGCAAGTAAACAAATATATACAAAAATCATATATAAGAATGTCTTTATTACACAATCGTAAAAGACTTTCAAAAAATCAATCGTACACAAATACAACAGTCTTGTTGTTAACCTATTGAAATGTATGCAAACATGACAGTGATATAATTGTATTACGTAATCAATCTGAACATACGTCTATAGGCAGTACTATAGGTTATTAAAATTGTCCATGTTCATAATTTTTATCCTCAACATTTTGACGATCGTGTTTTATGAAAGCAGTCATATAGAAGAATGTAAAAGATTGTATATATTGTTTTGTGCAGATGCATATATATATATATATACACATATATATATATATATATATATTGTTGTTGTTGTCTTTTTACATGTTATTTTAAGGGGAATAAAGAAAATCTGGTATAAAAGGGATCGTTATTTCTTGTTGTTTTCAAATGCGATCATCATTCATCAAACCATTTGAAGTGTTAGCCCCAGGAAAAACTCATACCTTTCTTCAAATCAAGTCCCAATAACTGTTGTGACGTTTATATTAGTGGTCTCCAAAAGGAGAGCTGCGTTCGCTAAGCCGGATGATTTGAGAACAGAGCAGTTGCTTGCGCCCTTGCCCACGATGCGTTTAAAATAATATTACGGCATTACCCAGACGTTTATCTGTGCAGGATGAATGTCAGGAAATGATATCACCTCACTGCTTATTTACAAGCATCTTCTTGCTGCCATAGCACCCCTTGTTGCATCTATCAATCTTGTTATTACTAAATTATTACACTATGTGTATTATATTGTGGGAGAGGAGGCAATTTTATCTTTATGCCATTCATATTTCAGATTCAGATTTCATTTCACTTCATTGTCTGTTTTATTTATTAGCTCTAAGAAGCGCTATTAAACTTTAAGGCAGGGTAGTCTACTGACGGCTTGTAAGATTTACGTGTACTGTCATCTGCTACTCACAATGACCCGGTGTTTTGACAGCCATGTCCAACAATGCATCACCAACTGCATGACCCGTGCATGGTGATGCTTGAATAAAGGAACCAAAAATCAATCTATGAACGCCTTTACCGAAAGATGGCGCAAGTAAAAATACATTAGAGCAGTGGTAACGATGTCGGTAAAACAGGCGCGGATCCAGGGGGGGGGGGGCCGAGCGTGCTTTGGCCCCCCCCCCCCCCCCCGCAAAAAAAAAAAAAAAAAAAAAGGGAGAGAGAGAGAAGGAAAAGAAGGGAAAGAGGAGAGAAAGGGGGAAAAAGAAGAGGAAGAAGAGAAGAAAAGAGGGAAGAAGGAGATCGGGGGGAGGACTTGCCTCCCCCTTCCCCCCCCCCAATAAAAAAATAAAAGAGAAGGAAGGAAAGGGAAAGAAAAAAGATAAAGAGGAGATAAAGGGAAGGACAAAATAGGAAGAAGAAAAGAAAAGAAGGGGGATATCAGTTGCAATTTTCCCGCCAACAAGTTGTGGATCGAGGGGGGGGGGGCAAAAGACCCTAACCTCCCCCCCCCCCCCCCCCCCCCCCCCCGTCCCCGCTAAAAAAAAAGAGAGAAGGAAGGAAAAGGAAAAGAGGAGAGCTAAAAGGGAACAAAAGGGAGAAAAGAAGCGGAGATCAGTTGCGGGTAATCCCGCCAACAATGTGTGGAGCGGGTTGGGGACCAAAAGGACCGTGCCCCTCCCCCCCCCCCCAGCAAACCTAAAAGAGAGATAAGGAAGGGAAGGGAAAGTGAAAGAGGAGAGAAAGAGAAAGGAAAAAAAGAGAATGAAGAAAGGTAAGGGATATCAGTTGCAATTTTCCCGCCAACAAGGTGTAGATCGGAGGGGGGGGGGGGAAGGGGGGGGGGGGGGGGCACTGGCATACTGATAAGGGAGGGGGGGCTGGAGAAATAGAATACAAACGTGGTTTATTTATAATTCCATAACGATGGTTAACAAATAATGCTGAAATGAGATAATTTTCCTCACTTCATGCGTTTGTTGGAAAATGACAAATTCCTAAATTTACAGCCAGGCAAGAAAATGCTTCTTGAGATGCCTACATATCAGGGCCCGCGGAACGGCGGGGAACGGGATCCTCGAGCCCCTCCCCCCACACTTTTTTTGGAAAAGTATATTAAAGAGAAATAGAAAGAAAGAGAGCGAGAGAGAAAAATAGTTAACTGCCAGTGTCACATTATAATGGGGTATCAAAATATGCTCATCTGACCATGATTAAAATTAATGCCTAAAATCCTAAGGGCTCTGCCCCCTGGATTCCACCTAGGGCCCTAAGGCGGGCCCTCAGATGCTCATATGACGGTCATTTAATGCCTAAAACCCCTGATTTCTAGGGGCTCTGCCCCCTGGACCCCACGCCAAATAGTGTCATGCTAGTTTCATAAATAATAAGGTCTCAAAAATGCTCATCTGACCGTAATTAAACGCCTAAAACCACTGAGCTTCTGGGGGCTCTGCCCCCTGGACCCAACCAAGAGCCCTTAGGCGGGCCCCTCGATACTCATCTGACCGTAATTGAGTGCCTAAAACCCTTGAGATTCCGGGGCTCCGCCCCCTGAACCCCAAGCCAATTAGTGACCTGCCATTGTAACAATTAGGTATCAAAATATTGCTCATCTGACCGTAATTAAATGCCTAAACTCCTGAACTTCCGGGGCTCTGCCACCTGGACCCCGTTTAGGGCGCTAAGGCGGACCACTGAATGCTAATCTGACCGTAAATTAAAACCTTAAACCCCTGAGCTTCCGGGGCGGACAAGGTATCAACATATGTTGATCTGGCAGCAGGTGCGTAGCCAGGGGGGCGGTGGGGTGGTCCCCCAATAAACGCCGGCCAAAAAAGAGAGGAGTGTAAAGGAAGAGGACGTAGGAAGAAAAGGGAATAGACAAAGAACATATTTGAAATTCAGACAAGGATTAAAAGTCGAGAACGGTACAACGAATCGTCTTCTTTCTCTAATGAATTAATGAAACGTCAAAGCTTCCGCGCTACACGCGGGGGGAGGGCAGGGGGAACTTAATTCAGACGAGGATAATTTTCGGGAACGGTACAACGAATCGTCTTCTTTCTATAATAATTTAATGAAACGTCGAAGCTTCCGCACTTCGCGCGGGTGGGGGAAACTAAATTATTTTCGAGAACTGAACAACGAATCGTCTTCATTCTCTAACAATTTAATGAAACGTCGAAGCGGGGGAAAAACTGAATTTAGACAAGGATTAAGAGTTGAGAACGGTACAACGAATCAACTTCTTTCTTTAATGATATAATGAAACGTAAAAGCTTCCGCGCTTCGCGTGGGAGGGGGGAAACTGAATTTAGACAAGGATTAAAAGTCATAACGGTACAACGAATCGTCTTATTTCGCTATTGATTTAATGAAACGTAGAAGCTGTATTCAGACGAGGATTATTTTCGAGAACGGTACAACGAATCGTCTTCTTTCTCTAATGATTTAATGAAACGTACAAGCTTCCGCGCTTCGCGCGGGAGGGAGGAGGGGAAAACTGAATTCAGATGAGGATTAAGAGTCGAGAACGCCGCACGAATCATCTTCTTTCTCTAATGATTTAATGAAACGTAAAAGCTTCCAAGCTTTGCGCGGGAGAGGGGGATGAATTAAGACGAGGATTAAGAGTAAAAAACTGTACAACGAATCGTCTTCTTTTTCTAATGATTTAATGAAACGTAAAAGCTTCCGCGCTTCGCGCGTGAGGGGAAAAACTATTTCAGACGAGTAGGCACGTACGGAAGGGGGAGGGGGTTAGGGGGTTGACCCTCCCCCCATCGGTGTTTTATGTGTGTATTTTGGAGCACCCCCCCCCCTTTCTGTGATTTTTTTTTTAAATAGGCCAATGGCTGACCTAAAAAAGGTGACCTCACCCCCCCCCCCCCCCCAACGGAACAAAACGTCAAATTTTCAAATTTCGAGACCAAAAAAAAAAGTGTCCTCTTCCCCCACTCCCCCCCCCCCCTGCTTATTTAGCGGCTGGCTGAGTCGTTTCGATTTTTTTTCGGACCCTCCCCCCCCCCCTCCAAAAAAAAGTGGGCCCCCCCCTAAGAAATCCTGGATCCGCGCCTGCGGTAAAATACCCTGCTCTTAAGACAGTGAACAGACAAACTAAAATCTTGACTTGCCCCTAAACATATCAAATGAAATAAAATCAAACCTTTTTTCTTTGTAGTCAATGACAAGACCACTCATTTGGCCTACCCCTTGAGTGGGACCGATAATTTCCATCCTTCCTGTACCGTCCAAAGAGGCTCGTTCAATCTGAGTAGGCGGTCCAAACTCTGTCCAAAACATGACTCTACATCAAGACAAAACATTTCAAATAAAAGGTGATATGTTCCAAATATTTTCGTTTACATAAATACGTAATATTTGTGTGAGAATATGTTTAATACGAGCAAATCCTTCCTAAGAAATATACATCATTCATACTTATGTTAATAAAAACAGAGATCTAGAGAATGGAAGAAAGGGCAAAAGATATACATGATAGTCGTTACCTTTAAAGTGGCTAAAAACACTGACTGTTTTGTTCAAAATAGACTTGTATGACAAGTCAAAGTTATTACCCTTCACGAATGCATTTTGAAATACTTTTATATATCACAGAAAACTTTCACTGGTTGGAGGTTAATCATGGTATGTTACCCAAGCTTAACACAATCTTTAATTTCAGCAAGCTAGTTAACGCCCCCTCCTGTGGACGTTCCCTTGCCATGGATTCTTGCTCGCTTAGCTTTTGCATCGGTATGAGTTTATGCTTCATGTGACATTAATCTAGTTAGAATATAGTCACAAAATAGGTGGAAATCCATTGGGAGTATAAGAACCACTATTTTGTTTGAATTATTTGCTGAGTAGCCTATGACCTCTCCATGCATGAGCACCAGTATTTTAAAGCATTTTCTGGCGTAGTCGTAAAAGACAAAAGGAGTTGCTTGCTTCATAGCTAGCTACAAAAGAAAACGGTGAAAATACTATAAACGAAAGAAACCTACTTTTTGGCAGGATCGATGGCAATACTTCGTGGTCTGAGTACCTTGTCTTTAAGAAGAGTTGTCCTGTAAGATCCGTCGTAGCGAGATACTTCGATGGTTCCACGAGGATTATCTGTCCAGTATAGATGCTTCGTCAACCAGTCAACAGCCATGCCTATAGAGACAAAGGGCTAACTTCATCATTACGAATCGTGAATGCACCGGCCCGTGCAACCTCTAAAATGTAAATTGCATAACTGCAACAATAGTTTTTGAACGGTTTTGACATAAGGAACAATTCACTGGTTATTTTCAAAATGGCGTCAAATATGGCCATACATTAAAATATGTTCATCTTAGAGGTATGATTCTAATGTATATCACCTTGGTTTCGAAAGTCGAGTAATCCATTCATACTACTTACAAGGGGCAAAAGCCACCACAAGAATGGCGTCCAAAATGGCCTCCGGTTTACAAATAATGACCGGAAGAGAGTTATTATTTACAGTAAAGCTGTAATCATTAACATAGAAAAATATGTCTTAGTAAAATGCTACCTTCGACTGAGCCGGTCGCTCCCGTGATGTAGCGGACAGTCGAGCCCACCCTCAAGCTTGCCATTCCGATGGCCTTTGATGCAACATCGCTGTAGAACACCAAGCCGTCTTCGAGGTCAACGGCGAGCGCGACGGCGTGATTTCGGTTTACTAACATGTTCGTGATGTTGAAATCATCAGGGATGGTAATGTCGGGAAAATTACTCGGGTACATGGAAAGCTTGGTTCGAGAGGCAACAAAGAGCTGGGGTGGACTGATGGCTCTTTCTGGAAAAGAAAGATCCATTTGCAAACATTATCATGAAGGACTTCCTTCGTATTTTGCTTCAACACTGTCCATAAAACATTGATACCTTATTATACTATTATATACCCATTCCCGAAAAGATAATATTAAAATCTACTTATTTATCATACGATTCCAAAAAAAAAGAACTGCCGCTCTTTTTCTTTATTAATTCTACACGGTTATATTTACTTCTAAAGCTATGTACTTATCCCTATGTGTACAGATCTTCTTTGGACTACATATTATGTGATGCACATTACGCGACTCATTTTGTATTGCAAGCAATTGTTTCCAAGTGACGTGTAAACAAGACATGTAGGCGATACTTTCGTTCTAGTCTGGGTTAGATTAACGATAACTCGCAGTCTAACCAAAAAGGAAAAAATGAAGTTTCACATGAATGTTACTAATAATTTGCAGGTTAGGATTCAGACATTCTAAATAGACCCGTACTCTAGTAAACTTAATTCCTACCATCCCTGCAAGTTCTTCCGTCTGCAGCTAGGAGTCTTCCAGTTCCGCAGAGGCACGTGAATCCGTTAGGCCCACCACCGACACACAGGTAGCTACATGGGTTACTGCTACAATGGGCTTTACAGGAAAATAGATAATACAAGACATGGCAACTGAAATCTTGATATCCGTAATGCATTTACTCAACCGCGGTAAAAACTGAAATTAAGAAGTGGTCAAGACTGTCTCTAATAATTATTCTAAAGCATTAAGTCCTGGTTAATGTGACTTGATAGTCCTCAGGATGTTGATAATACAGATGTGAGCAGCGACCTATATGAATATGAAACTCAGTAAAATACATGTAAGTCTTACAAGATCGTTTCGCAAGGTGTGTAATAACACCGTTTCGAATTTCTTTATCTAGTTAACACTGGAATTCAGTAAACAATGGTTTGATCTGTTTGATCATAAGCAATCTAAATCCCAATATTGAACACTACATTGTATCTACAAGTAGTATTGTGGCCAAGTAGTAGTGTGCAAAACAAAAATCTATCACGTTACTTATAGGTCCTGAACGTTAACAGTCTTCACTTTGATATAAGGGAAATCTGTCGAGAGTGCCAAAATCTGATACGTTTTCAGATCTACAGTTATTATGACGCAGACCAACACGTCTGTCTGTTTGTATATTTGTTTGTGTCTTTCTTTGTTTCTTTTCTAAATTACCTATTATGAGCTCATAAAATGTTTTGTTCGATAGATGACTTACACACTGCTAGTGGTTGTGTATCGGGAGCGAAAGTGACGATGCCATAAGGTCTGTTTGGAAGATTAAGGCTGAAAACAAACTGGCCAGTGTCCTTCGTCAACAAGTGTAGGGTGCTCGTATTTTCTCCGGTAACGTATATAAAGTTCTACAATAAAAGGCCAGTAAGAGGTGTAAATATTAAAATATTAAGTGTCTTTAAAAGCAATCCACCAACATGCCAGTTACAGCATAAGCAGAACTCAACAATTTGCAAAATCATGATTGTCCTTTCTAGCACTTTTGTTATAAGTTATTTGGCTATCACTTAAAATTGTTTCTAAAAAAAGAATGTATCTCAATTTGAAATCGTAGAAATTTTAATGTAACACATAACATCGCACCATTACCGTCGATACTCCTCTTTCATCACTCAGTAAAAAGATTCTGTTTTTCTAACCGTCCTATTCTCACTCTGCATCCGTGATCGATTCTCCTTTTTAATTGAAAAACAGCTGTTCTCAAGTAACGTTTATACGAATTTAATACTGACGAGAAGGCAATTAACTTAGAGGTATATTAAAAGATGCGTAATAATAAAGTATATAGGTACACATTTTTACATAAATAGTGGCCCATGTCATTTAAAGCCAGAAACAGTGCCAAACTTGCAACCCTGACATTTACACAAATGGTATTCGTACTTCTTTCGTTCTTCTTCTTCGAAATGGCAAACCCTTACACCGGCCAACCCTTACACCGGCCAACCCTTACACCGGCCAACCCTTACACCGGCAAACCCTTACACCGGCCAACCCTTACACCGGCCAACCCTTACACCGGCAAACCCTTACACCGGCCAACCCTTACACCGGCCAACCCTTACACCGGCAAACCCTTACACCGGCAAACCCTTACACCGGCAAACCCTTACACCGGCCAACCCTTACACCGGCCAACCCTTACACCGGCCAACCCTTACACCGGCCAACCCTTACACCGGCAAACCCTTACACCGGCCAACCCTTACACCGGCCAACCCTTACACCGGCCAACCCTTACACCGGCAAACCCTTACACCGGCCAACCCTTACACCGGCAAACCCTTACACCGGCAAACCCTTACACCGGCAAACCCTTACACCAGACCGACATTGGATCAAACAAATGATTGCAATATCCTGAGCCTGAGCCCCGAAAAGGACAGGTTTGGAGTCGGTTGGAAATCCATTTCGCAGTGTTATACTGAAGTATGAGTGCATTATCATTACTAGATGACATCAAAATCATTTCAAGAATTGTTTCCTCGTTTACCGTAAAGATAGTTAGATCGAAGAAACCCTCGTAGGCAGGTGTACGGTACAGTTGTCGTCTGTTTGCACCAAGGATATCACATACCTCGACACGGTTGCCAGACGGGTCGGAATCCACCCAATACACCCTAAAAGACGTCAGTAAAGGGGGAGAGCAATTTCAAATATATTGTCATCACATGTTCTCCGTGGTCATAAACTGCATCGATCATAATGATCCGTCATCACGATAATCCAAATAAACTAAATAAAAGCTCTGGTAGAAGTTACTAACGTATTTGCAGGAGGGACAGATTTCTGACCAAGAAAAGGAAATGCAGTAACTATTTAAAACCTAATAGTTAGCAGATCAGGGAATTGGTATGGGACAACAATAACGCACAGAATAATTCACAAAATAAGTCAGCCTATTAACTCATCGGTCATTTTTGCGATACCCCCTCCCCAAGGCCCTCGGAAAGTGAATTCCTGATTGAACATAGACGGATCACAGTAAGTATATTTTCCCCTCCTCAGAAAATTGTCTGGATACGCCACTGTATGCTAGTCCAAATGTTAGTATTCCGAATAAAACATGTCTTATAGTTATACATTTTAGAACAAAGTGGATTTAACTCTATGTAAAATTATAAGTAAGAGCTATAAGCGGACGATTTGTTTTCTGACTAATATGCTGAAAATTTGGACTTTATTAATGATTTTGGAGTTGATCAAATTATTCATATAAACCATCGTGACCGACTCGGACATAACTATGAAAAGGATATTTCTATGAAGTAAGTACGAGGTAGACATTCACAGAAACATACATTACTTTGTGACATGATTGTCTCACATACCAAATTAGAATAACTCATTTACAACATGTTTTATAGGTCATAATCATTGACGATCCCGTTGCATGGGTATGAATCTTAGTACTTTAAATTAGATTAACTTCATGTTCATCGCCACACACATTACTTTGAGAGGACCAAGCCCAACCCTAACCCACAGACATGTAATCTTGTTGATAAAGTCGGAGAATCCAACTTACAGGTCAGTGTCGAAGTCCAATGTGATTCCGCGTGGAGTGACCACGTCGGTAGTGGCCAGTTTTATTCGATTACCACCGGCAAGATCACTGCGCTCAACTTTAGGTTCGTCTCCAGCATCCGTCCAGAATAGGAAGCTTATCAAAGAGAAAGAAATGATGATTATAGCACCTTTAACAATTAGCAAATTGTTTAAAAATTAACTTTAAAAAAGCACAGAATAAATGGCGGATGTGATTTCCATGTCTTTCAGTTATTGTTTTTTATGAATAATTTGTTGGGGGAAATGATCAAAATGGTACCAGTTTGGCTATGTAGAAGGTAACAGATGGCGACTTGAGTAAACAAAAAATATATATATATATATATATATATGCTCTACCTGTGGCGTAGCCTTATGTAGGGTAAGGGGCACTTATTCCTTCATTGGAAAACAGAAAGAAAAGGAAAAGAAATTTAATGGCGAAAAAAAGAAAGACAAGGAAATGGAAAATAATGGGAGAGGGGCAAAAGAATGTGAAAAGATATTATGACCCTCCCTCCCACACTCTCCCCCTAGCTGACTGCCTTATCATTTTGCAATACATCCATCGAGTAAATTCGTGCCCCAGCCCCTTTGATGCTACTTCCCCACTTGATGTCCAGACCTACGATATTCGAATGCTCTTTACCAACCTTCTGATAGGATGGACCGCTATGCCTCCTGGTTGATCTAGTCCCTCATCGACCACGATATCGTACCGAGATCCATCCGAACTATGTAACAGGATCCAGTCGTATACAGCATCGGTCCAGTATACGTTACCCGTCAGCCAGTCGACGGCGATTCCATTGACGGAATCGGAGGTGCCTTGGAAAAACGGCCCAGCCCGAGAATTTTCTCCAATTCTCCCTGAGCAGAAATCATTTAAAAGCAATTTATTTTGCATGTGCAATACACCTGTTTACTATTGTTTATCAATGTATGCATGTTTCTCTCTGGAAATAAATTACGTACTCACCCAGGCGCGGATCCAGGATTTCTTAGTGGGGGGGGGGGGGTCCAAATTTGAAATTATGCGAGCAAAATATTGGTACGTAATGGTGACACCGGCAGTGGCGAAATGAGCAAAAAGGTTTTTTTTTTTTTTTTTTTTTTCGGAGGGGGGGGGGGGGGGGTAAAAAAAAAAAAAATCCGCATCACCCCCGTTCTTACATGCAGTCCACGCTGAACGTTTTTCTAAGTAGATGGAGGTGGTATTTACGATCAGGTACAGCGTAGCGTAAATTGGCGTGGGGTCTAGGGGCGAAGCCCCGCGGGGGATCAAGGGGTGGAGCCCCCAGAAGTTAAGGGGGTATAGGCATTTACTAACTGTCAGATAAGCATATATTAATACCTTATTTGTGACACTGGCAGGTCACGAATTGACGTGGGGTTTCCGGAAGCTTACGGGTTTTATACATTAAATTACCGTCAGATGAGCATATTTTGATACAGATATTTGTGACACTGGCAGGACACAAATGGGTGTGGGGTCCAAAAGGCGGAGCCCACAGAAGCTCAGGGGTTTTATACATTAAATTACCGTCAGATGAGCATAATTTGATACCTAATTTGTGACACTGGCAGGTCACAAAATGGCGTTGGGTTTAAGGGGGCGGAGCCCCCGGAAGCTTAGAGGTTTTGGGCAATAAATTACGGTCAGATGAGCATATTTCGAAACCTTTTTTTGTGACACTGGCAGGACACAAATGGGTGTGGGGTCCAAGGGGCGGAGCCCAAAGAAGCTCAGGGGTATTATACATTAAATTATCCTCAGATGAGCATATTTTGATACCATATTTGTGACACTGGGAGGTCACGAAATGACGTGGGGTTCCAGGGGGCGGAGCCCCCAGAAGCTCATGGGTTTTAGGCATTTAATTACGGTAAGATGAACATATTTTGATACTTTATTCGTGACACTGGCAGGACACTAATTGGCGTGAGGTCCAGGGGGCAGAGCCCCCGGAAGCTCAGGGGTTTTATGCATTTATTCACGGTCAGATGAGCAAATCTTGACACCTCATTATTTTGTGAGAAAGGCAGGTTACTATTCTTTCTGTCTTTCTTTAGGAATTGGCCATTTTCCAACAAACGCATACAAAAGTATAATTTACTAAAGATTGAGGAAAAATTTCGGAAAATTATGTCATTTCAGCAACATTATGTTGTAAATCACCGGTATGGAGTTAGAAATAAACCACGTTTAAATTATTTTGGGGGGCATCTGTCTCCCTCCAAGCCCCCTCCCCAATCATTACGCCAGTGCCCCCCCCCCTCCCGATCTACACCTTGTTGGCGGGAAAAAATCGCAACTGATCCCCCTACCTTTCTTCTTTCTCTTTTTTTCTTTCCCTCCTCTCCTCTTTTCCTTTCCTTTCCCTTCCTTCTCTCTATTTTAAGTTTGATGGGGGAGGCAAGGGCCTTTCGGCCCCCTCCGATCCATACGTTTTTGACGGTTCCCCCTACTTTTCACCCTTTTCTTTTCTTCTTCAAGTTTTTGTTCCCTTGTAGCTCTCCTCTTTACCTTTCCCTCCCCCCCCCTTCTTTTTGGGCGGGGGTGGGGGAGGCAAGGGCAACTTGTTGGCGTGAAAATTACAACTGATATCCCCCTTCTTTTCTTTTCTTCTTCCTCTTTGTTCCTTCCCTTTATCTCCTCTATTCCCTTTTTCTTTCCTTTTCCTTCCTTCTCTCTTATTTTTTGACGGGGGGGGGGGGGGGTAGGTAACAGCTGGGAGGCAAGGCCCTTTCGGTCCCCCCCCCCGATTTCCTTCTTTTTCACCTTTTTCTTTTTTTTTTCTTCCTCTTCTTTCTTTCCCTTTCTCTCCGTTTTCCCTTTCCCTTCTCTTTCTCTCTCTCTCTTTTTTTGCGGGGGGGGGGGGGCAGGGCCCGCTCTCCCCCTGGATCCGCGCCTGCACTCACCAGCAATGATTCTTTTCAGCCCTCGGTCGCTCCAGAAGATGTGCTGTTGGCCATAGTTGATGGCCACTGCACCCCAGGACCCCCGGGACACTCGATAGTGGATATCGGTGGTGATTGTCGATTGGAGAGTTCCTTCGGGTGTAACCATGTTGAGCGGATCAGCACCGAGACTGGATAACCGGACCATCTCGGTGTCCGGATGTACTTCCGTCCATACTATCCGTGATCCAAGTATATCGTCCACTGAATAGGGGAGAGGACATTAAGGTGCCTATCAATACGTCTACGCAGATGTGTGGAATATGAAAAGAGTAGGACTATCAAAAAGGATATAGACAATGTACATATTATTTAATCTAAATGCAAGTTTCAGACAGCAAAAATATTTAAACTCCAATGGACAATATTGGGCATTCCACCGCAATATCCGAAATCATGGGCAGTTTGATCATTATTCAGTAAGGGATATTTACCAATGCATTTCTTCTTTTCGGGTCGAATGGGTGGGGGTGATTCTGTAAAATCTAGCTTTCAGCAAAGAGGGGGCTCATGGTAAAACCCTGGAACAGCTCTATGTCACACCTTCAGAATGAACATCCCAGGACACGAGGCCCAAGATGAGCCCAGTCATACCGACAAGAACTATAATGGACAGAACTAGCATCGCCAAAGTTTGTGTCGATTATCCGCCATGCCAATATGAACTGATGACAGTAGATGAGGGCCTATACACAATTCTAAAATGGATTTGTAAAATCTTTAGATATTTAAAATGATAAAACTGTTAATATCCTCTTACTTACCGACCTCATACGTGAGAACGAATCCGTCATGTTGTTCTTGAAAATCGGACACAAATCGTACAGTCATCAACGAGGAACTGGACTCCAACATCGGTGGAAGCCCACTTCCACAAAAACGGCCTAAGAACGGTGACCCGCTGTCACCAATTCCGTCGTAAACAAACAATGCATCTGCACTGTGGGGGGAATTAAAGGCTATCATAGTTGCATCAATATTTTGGACGAGAAGGTAAATTTGATGTATTTACAAAGCACTTGACATACATGTACATGTGAACTAAGTCATGGACTGAGACTGAACATTAATATTTAACTAAAGATATGAAAAATCTCTTAAACTTGCCAAAGTACTTTTAAAAGACTTATAATTTAATTATACTACATGTGCCGACATTATTTATGGCGCTTCTACCAAACATAAGTTAGGTGAAGCATAATCCGCCAACGGGACCCCCCCCCCCTTCACCTTTTACTCTCCCACACACAAACATGCTTGTAACACCATTATACCTTTTAAAAGTAAGTGAGCCATAAACCAAAATCAAAACACTTACACACAGTCGTCACTTTCATCCAATTTGAAAAGTAGGAAGCGGAGCCGGATGTGTGTGTTTGGTGGACTCTGTATCCTCCATTCGATCAGCTCTAGATTAGGGTACCAGCGTGGAAAGTTTGGAGATTGGATTGTTCCCGAACCAGCCGAGACATTATGGATTTGAGCGTCGACCGCTTGCCTTTACAAAAAAAAAGTGTTTCAAGACAAGTTAGAAGGATAACAAAAGGACACAAATCCCTAGTGATGTGCTCAAATGCATGGAAAAGTAATGATTAATTGATTTAAATGTAACTTTCTCTCAATAACTTTGATGTTTGATGTTTCCTATTCATTACATGGCTCGCTATTAAACACGGATAAACTTATATACTATAGTAGTTGATTAAAAGGGGTACAGTTAATTTTGGGGCGATACATTTAAATTCCGACTTGTTATGTTACACTGCCCTGATCACATATGTAGAGAGAGAGAGAAAGAGAGAGAGAGAGAGAGAGAAGCATGGAGAGCGGAAGGAGGGGTGGAAGCGGAGAGAGAGAGAGAGAGAGAGAGAGGGGAGCCAGAATATTTTAAATGCATATATGCATGCATGTATTACAAATATAGAAATAAATATGTGGGTACATGTATATAATATCTTGAATGAACTGGGATGACTCAGTGAGTCATGTTTTTGTTAAAAGAGAAACCGGTGTACAAAGTCAAATGCGCTTGTGTCCTTAGGATGTTACTAGAATCCGTACGTCCCATGGGGCTTTCTCTAAGAATTGTATTTACAGCAGCCAGATAAAGGGCAAGTCCGAGATAACGTATGTGATATTCAGAGGCTTGTATCGTTTAGGTATGATAAACAAGGCTTCAATATTATATCTTTGTTTCACCATTGTGTACTGCACTTGTTAGTAGAGTACTGTGATCATGAATATAATGAACTTTTACCTAGACACGGTAAATGTCCTCTGTATGGCATTGGGAAATCAAACAAGATATTAGCTATCTATCATTTGTATTTAAAGGTACTATGTCCCATTTGCAGGCCTAAAAATGAAAAGGTTTAAATTCCAACGGCATTTGAAAGATAATACTAATTTAGAACTTCCCTAAAAAAAAAAAAACTCGAAAATTTCTTCAAGTGGGAAAATGATGACTATTAGTTGTCAAATCGACTTAGGAGCTATAGAGCCAATAAGTAATAGTCTTGATTTTCAGACCATTGTACCGAATGGTCATACGTTTTATGCTGCGCAAAGATTCAATCAGTTTAATTTGGGCCATCACAAGAAGTGGTTTATTGATGTAGACAAATGCTCATGTACCCTTTACAGCTCATTTTATGTATGTTACCAAAGAAGAAAAAGCTAGTCACTCACTCAATAGTGTCTGACAGTGAAGTCTAGCAAGTAAACAGGTTTCATTGCAAAATTTGAATATTAGGACACTGCTAACGTTTACATTTCACAGATAGGACATACATGACATATTCATAATTCCTGCCAAGTTCTACAGAATTTGAGGTTGGCTGCAAAAGGGACATAGTACCTTTAACACCAAATACAAATTACTTTTTGTCTTCTTCGGGTTTGGGTCTTGCCCCCAAGAGTCAATAACTGAATGAATTTGGAAACTATCTTGTGTGTCTAAAGAGAGGAGATCACGAAAATTTAAGTTTATATGAAGTAGTCTTGGTGAAAACACTGGCCATATTCACACAAACAGTTATGAAAATAAATTCCCTTTGCAGATTTGGCCCAAATCAGGAAACTGAACTTCCCTTCTGTTCTTTTGTAAATTTCCGGGTTAGATTGTATCAATGCCATGAAACAGGAAATATAGGTAATGCTACAGCTGGAGTGAATCAATGAGAATCTTTTCTGTTTCGAATACGTATGTAGGCATGTCGTAGTCCATGACCAGAGTAACTCAGTCTCAGGCATTTATGTGTTTGTTTTAGAATTAACTCAGATCAGGGAGGAATTAAAATAAGAGTAATTTAAAGAGTTTCCAACCTTACTAGACAACTACGCTAAAAGAAAGCAGAAACACCAGGGAAGCAGACAAGTAAAAGTTTTAATGAAATCGGGAAGAAAAAAAATGTATGACTTTTTGAAAGTTGTAATCACCATGATCACCAAACGCTTCAGTACTTCAAATTGGCTGGATCGGTACTGTCACTGTGACAAGTGCCGGTCTGCTGGACAACTTTTTTGATTTGTTTTAACACATAAAATGACAAAAATTATCTTCACATTATAAAATATAAGACTCAGGAGAGGGTATTTTATTGTTTAGAAGACCAATGAATTTGAGTAATACTCCACAGCCAAACCACTAAGGAGAAAACAGCCATTAATAAATTGTTGTACGCGGCAAACGGGAGAGTTGTCTGTGACTACGTCACAATCCATTGACCAAATTGCCAATTTGAGATTCGAATAGACTTAGTGATCTCATATTTCAAACATTAAAAACTCCCCTTATTATTGGACCAAACTATTGAAAACTCTCGCCACCTTGTTTCACTATATTTTCTGCTTTCATTAGGTTGGATTTCTTTTAAAGGTACTATGTCCCATTTGGAGGCCAAAAAAATGAAAAGGTTAAATTCCAACGGCATTTGAAAGATAATACTAATTTAGAACTTCCCTAACAAAAAGGAGGCTTGAAAATGTCTTTAAGTAGACAAATAACGACTATTAGCTGTTGAATCGACTTAAGAGCTATAGAGCCAGTAAGTAATAGTCTGATTTGTAGACCATTGTACCGAATGATCGTATGTTTTATGCTGCGCAAAGATTAAATCAGATTAATTTTGACCATAACAAGAAGTGGGCTATTGATGTAGACAAATGCTCATGTACCCTTTACAGCTCATTGTATGTATGTTATTACCAAAGAAGCAAAGAAGCCAGCCAGTCACTCAATAGTGTCTGACAGTGAAGTCTAGCAAGTAAACGGGTTTCCTTGCATAATTTGAATATTAGGACACTGCTAACGTTTAAATTTCACAGATAGGGCATACATGGCATATTCATAATTCCTTCAAAGTTCTACAGAATTTGATGTTGGCTGCAAATAATACATAGTATCTTTAAAGGCATCGTTTAACGATGTTAAATCTGAGATGCACGGCCCTACGTGTTATCAGTGTCTGTGATATGGTGTAATATTGAAGCCCTATAAAAAAGAAATCGCGATTCAAAATGATCAAGAAGTGCCTCAAAAAGTAAAAAATCTTTGAGTGACCGGTTTTACGCCACTCGTTTTCCACAATAGACTGTAGAGTTATGAAAACCGTTAGGAAAACGCAAAATTTGGTTTCGATTTCCACTCATAAATATCTTGATAATCAGACAGAAGATCAGCTTGTAAAAGTCATGGGGTTCCTGACTGAGCTAAAGGTTTTTAATTATCATTGCTGCATGAGCAGGATTTTGTTTGCAGGATTTTGTTTCAGAATCTGAGACAAAGTTATCGGATCCCTTTAAATGTTGATACCCCTCACACGATCCGCCACCGGTGTACAATATAACTGTGGTAACTGCTGCCTACTTCTTCTTTTTTTAAATCTCCATATGTATAAAAATATTTTTCTTCAGTCATAATTATACATGTATGCATTCTTGCTTCATTTATGATTTTGTTTGAATCTTTAAAGTGTCCAACTTACAATGCGAGGAAGATATAGGCTACTCCGGCGATTAGCAGAGTCGTGTACACCATAGTAGGTCCTCGTCGGACGATTCCTTGAGCAGATCCTGAACTGATGATATCACTGCAACATCGAGAAATTATGAGCACAAATAAAACAGGAACTATAGATATGCTAGTTTAAACATAACTGACATTTAGTACAAGATTGTGTTTTTATGTTTGTTTGTTTGATCAAAAGTCCAATGATTACGACTGAATAGATATAATTATACGTATTAACTTTTTCATTGGTTTTTGTAAAAATTGTGACTTAGATTCTTCTTGTACCTTTGTGTATTTGTGCTTGTCAGAGATCATGTTATTAGAATCAACTTTATAACCTGACAGTGCTTCCGTTCTCTCATAGATCTTCCTTAGCAGCTTATACAGTAGAATTAATATGTTCAAATTTCAGTTAGTTATGTACGTCTTACTAACAAAAGAAATACTTACACTTACACGCAATGAACAAAACTTAAAACACATATAAACAGGTATAACCATGGAAAATATAGTTAGCTCTAACAATACGTTTAAGATATACTGTTTTGCAGTTCATTGTAAATGGCATAGGAGTACAACAATGTGTTATTCTACATACAGATCTCTTAAACATTCATCATAAAGTACGTGTACGCTTGTTATCGTGTTATAATTATATTGACTGTATGAATCATCAGTATTATGACGTCGATCAGTTCTCAAGTGGTATTATTTCTCCGAATCAAGTCAAAGGTCACAATATAACGATTCATTGAGCTAGTTTAGGGAAGTCAATTTTATACAACCATTTATGTACGTGACTACTGTGGCTTATTTGTGATGGACGTAATACCTAGAACTAGACCTACATTCGACAAACAGCCCAATCTAAAAACTTGGTGTTGAATGTTTATCAAGGAAAGTGGTGTAATGTATGTTGCTGGTTCGTGCCAGCTTAAGAAAATAGCAAATTTTGTCAGAATCATTACGATGCTATTTTCTCGGACACCAAAATAAAAGAGCGATGAATACCTTTGTATTAAAAAGAGATATAACTGTATGTATACTCGGAGTGGTACAATATTAAAACAGCCAGAACGGCTGGTTTGGAATAATCCCGATGAATTAACTGACAGGATAGAATTTTTTCAACCATCAACATGTAAAAGAAGAGCAATGGAGAAGAATTAATCTTTTCTATACGCATTCACTTCTTTCACTAAAACTTTTACGCATCTTTTCACTTAATTAATTGTACTGTGCATGATAGAATTATTTTACAGTTGTTTTTACAAACATAATATTGGGTATAAAGCGCAACTAGTAACAAATTGCATGCATAACAATGTATAAGACGTTTCCCAATCTCTCATATTGTTAGACCTATTTGTAACGTTATCATAATTATCGTGAAACGATTATCAATAGCTCAACGATCGTATTAAACAATGATTACACATTTGATCACCATACCCCGAAAGTAAAACAATCAAACTTACCTATTTCACCGCTGAATTCAAGGTAAAGTCCATAAATAATTTCCAGAGAGAAGATTCAGAATGCCAAGAGAAGAATCTATATTATCAGTTTGATTTCCCGGCCACCACTATCAATGACTATCGGGTCCAGAGATCATTGTATTAAAGTCTAAATTTGCCGTCTCGCTCTCCGCACACACTACAATCTACAAACACGTAATCTGAGCCGTGTTGATTATGCCTCTACGTACTTTATGCGGGAGGGTGTTATAGACGAGACCGCCGTAATACCGAGAATAAGGTTAAGTTTCTGTTATTGTTGTCATTTTTTGTTTTATCAGCAGAAAGCGTTAAAGTATGTAAATTTTACCTGATCACCATGAACGTTGTGTCAAATACCTGTTGCTGTGTTATTTCTCCTCTAATCTTCAAAAGGTTTTGCTGTTGATATTTTCTCGCTTGTCTTTCACATATTAGTACCACCTCATCATTTGACCTTTTATTTACTTTTAATTGTATAATCTTCTTTTATTATGGGGGGTATTTTTGATTTTTGACTACCCCTTCTACATTTGCTGATTTGTTTTTCTTTTTAAACATGCATTGTACCATATGGAGTCGCTTTATATGTGCTGTACATGTTTTATTTTTGTATCGTATATATGTATTTTTTTTTAATGTATTTTTCTATGTTTGGCATTAATTTGTGGAGAAATAAATTGAATTGTTTAAATAAGACTTATTCTCATATTTAAAAAAAAAAATCTAAAGTGCATGTCTATATTATAACAAATAGGCCTATTAGCGTCGTTATTATTTTACAGGAAGTACTTACTTACATTATTACGATCGTTAACGGCCTTAATTAATTATCATGATGATTATTTCCTTTTATAAGACGGGTTTTGGAATCTAAGCAATCCGATTGGTGACATCACGTGGGCGTGTGTTAGTTTTTCCCACCGTGCAAAAAAAAGCTCCCATCAAAATTTGATAAGACACTCAATACCTGCCGATGTCGCTTTCGCGTAATTCAATCTGTTACTTTTGCAGAGTAACCTGATATATCTAGATCTAAAGTTAAAATATTCTAGACCTAGATCTAGTGAGATCTAAACTTAGATCTAGATCTAATATCTATCTATACTCTAGATGTAGACTATATTCTAAGAATGAATTGCTAACCCGTCTTATAAAACAAATAATACACTGTTTCGCTCGTTTGTTAGGGCAGTTCCAGTGCGATAACGCAGCTGCCCTGCAGGCGCGTGCATTATCACGTAATGTATTTGTTTTGAGAACTGTTGAAGGTAGAAAGAAGGGGAGATATGGCATAGTCTTGAATTGTAAGCGTTATACAATGAAGGCAGGATAGAAAAGTTTTGAATTGAGATGGAGATAGCATAGAGGATGGTTTATCCTTTTTTTTTTTTTTTTTTGATTAACCTTTACATGGAAAAAGACCATGATGTAGTAGATTTGCAGGAAGATATTTTTTTTATTTTTTTTTAACAAGGAAATGTAGAAACAAAGGTCAGACAGTGCATAATTTTCAATTGCAGGCGCGTAACAGCTGCACTGCTAAAGCCAGGGTAATTATGTTGCATTATTGTAGAGCGCTTAGAGACTTCTGACAAAGTAAGTGTTAGGCGCTATATAAGCACTGTAATTATTTATTATTATTTATGACAAATAAGTAGGAAAGCTAAATTAGGGGAGAGGGGAGAGGGGGAGGGGACTGCCATGCAACGTTTGCAAAGGCAGTCTGGCTAATCATTATGTATGATTCGCCACGCGAACTCTGTTATTTGTCTGTTTCATGTAGTCATCTTATGTTTCCTTGTGTTCTTTTCCTTTTCTTTCCTTTTCTTTTTTTGTTTTTCAAATGTGGGTTCTCGAATATTTGTAGTAGTCTCAGGTATTTATACATATTCTTTTTCTTTCTTAGTTTCCTTTCTGGTAGGGGAGAGGGTCGTGAAGTTGTTTCATTAAAAATATTAATTTGCCAAGAGATGATCCCTTTATCTGCAAGGTCGGAATTTATAGAGGGTCCCAGCTCATATATAGATACGGGTTTATTTCAACAAAAAAAAGATGGATAATAAAGGGAACTTGTTTTCATGTAACTATCTCACACTAAACGTGAGGGGAATTAGAGATAGAAGCAAACGAGAAAAAATGTTTAATTGGTTTAGGACAAAGTCTATAGATATAATATACTTACAAGAAACATACAGTACACCTGATATCGAAAAGAAATGGCAATTGGAGTGGGGCGGGAAATGTATCTTTAGTCATGGTACAAGCCACAGTAGAGGAGTTTTGGTATTAATAAATAGTAAGTTAGACATTGAAATTAGTGACACTTGTGCAGACATAAATGGAAGATATTTATTGATTAAAAGTAATAAACAAGGTCAGAAGATGTTGCTAGGAAATGTTTATTTTCCTACTGGAAATAACGAAGGGGAGCAAATAAAATGTTTAATGGATTTAAGGGAGTTGTTGTATAGAAACAATTCAGAAGGGAACCAAGTAGTTCTTGGAGGTGATTTTAATGTTATTAGAGACAAGAACTTAGATTATTTTGGACAAGTTACAAAGAAGCAATCAAAATTCAGTAGCAAATTAGAAGAATTCATGGATGAATTTAAATTAAGAGATGTATGGAGAAATAAAAATAAAGATAAAAAACAATATACTTATAGACAAGGGAATCCATTTATGCAAAGCCGTTTGGATTATTTCATTATATCAGAGAATTTAGAACAGATAACATCCAAATGTGACATTATTCCCTCCTTAGCACCCGACCATTCAGCTGTTAATTTGGTTCTGCATGATAGAACGTCTGGACAATTTCAGGGTAAAAGGGGTTATTGGAAGTTCAATAATAGCTTGGTAAATGATAGAGACTATGTTTTAAAGATGAAGGAAGAAATACAGACTTTAAAGAACAAAATGTTATCTGAGATAAAAGACAAGAGAGTATTATGGGACTATATCAAAATGGAAATACGCAGGTTTACAACTAAATTTTCAAAGAAAAGGCAAGGCAAAGGAAGGAAAAAATAGAAAAGCCAGAAAAAGAAATTGAAGACTTGGAAGAGAATTTACTATCAATCAATAATGTACATTATAAAGATATCCTTGAACAACTGAAAATTAAGAAACAACAACTAAGAGTATTTTATGACTATATTAATGAAGGTTTAAAAATACGATCAAGGGCTTCTTGGTATGAATGTGGAGAGAAGAATACAGCATTTTTTAAACAGCTCATGGAAGCAAATAGAAAGAAAAGTGTAATACAGAAATTAAACGTAAACGGAAAGATTGTAACTAAGGAAAAAGAAATTGTCGAGGGAATAAAACAGTTTTACAGTCAGTTGTATAAAAAAAAATAAAAGTTGTACTAGATGGAGGTTTAGAATTTTTCCCTAGTAACATGCCAAAATTGAACGAGACCTTAAGGGGTTTAGGTGAAGAAAAGATAGTAGAAAGGGAATGTATAGAAATATTAAAAAATATGAAATTAAATAAATCACCAGGAAATGATGGCTTAAGTGTAGAGTTTTATCTTAAATTTTGGCCGGTAATTGGAGATCTAATCCTTGCATCTTTTAATGAAGCCTTTAATCATGGAGAACTATCAGCCTCTCAGAGACAAGCAGTTATCACCTTGATACATAAAAAAGATAAAGATTCAGACTTTATTAAGAATTACAGACCGATTTCTCTTTTAAATGTGGATTATAAAATTTTAACAAAGATACTTTCAAAGAGATTGCAAGAAATTTTACCTGATATTGTATCTTCTGATCAACTTGGCTATGTTAAGAATAGAAACATTGGAGAAGCCATAAGAATAATAGATGACATGATTTTTCATACTTCTTTTTATAAGGAAAATGCTTTTTTGATGGCCTTAGATTTTGAAAAGGCATTCGACTCTGTTTCTCATTGTTTTCTATACAAAGTCTTAAATTCATTTGGGTTTGGACCATTGTTTTGTAAATGGGTGAATATACTTTATACTAATACTGAAAGTTGTGTTATGAATGGAAACGCATCAACAGGTTATTTTAAAGTTGAAAGAGGAATTAGACAAGGAGACCCATTATCTCCATACCTGTTCATTTTATGCATTGAAATTTTAGCTCATATGATTAGAAATAATCAATTGGTAAAAGGAATTTGTTTTGGAAATACAGAAATAAAGCAAGTATTATATGCTGATGATATAACACTCTTCATCAAAGATATGAGTTCAGTTAAGGAAATAGAACACGTTTTAGAAGGTTTTTATAAAATATCAGGATTAAAGTTAAACAAGGATAAGACATATATTCTGCCCCTGGGCCCACAGGTGTTTAATAATACATTTCCGTTTGGGAAACTTGTAGATGCTGTTAAAATATTAGGTGTTTATTTTTCAGTTCATGTAGATATCAAGGAAAAAATGAATTATAAGGAAATATTGAGCAAAATTAAAAAACTACTGACGTGGTGGAAACAGCGTGACCTAACTTTAATGGGTAAAATTCAATTGATGAAAGTATATGGATACTCTAAATTGACAAAAATATGTAACATCACTAATGCCAGTTCCAGAGTGGGTATACAAAGAAATGGAAGTAATATGTTTTGATTTTTTTGTGGAGAGGTAAAGATAAAATTAAAAGAAGTACAATGATGTTAGACTATCAGCAGGGTGGGCTCAAAATGATGAATTTTAGGTTGTTTGTAAAAGCACAAAGGATAATGTGGATAAAAAGGCTTGTAACAGGAACTCATGATATCAAATGGAAACAATACTTTAAATATTTAATGAGACCGATAGGAGGTAATTTAATATTTTATTGCAATTATTGGAGAGATACAGTGAAACTTATGTTACCTTCCTTTTATCAGAATCTTCTGAAAGCATGGATAGATATGAAAGAATATGTTAAAACAGAAGAGAGATACAAAGGGAATGAAATATTGTATAATAATAATTTTATTCAACTAGAAGGTCAAACCTTATTTGAGGAAACTTTGTTTTTTTTAAATATATATCGAATTCATCACATTTGTGAAGAAAATGGAGAATTGAAACCTGAAGCTCATTTTATAATGTTAGGTTTGAGCAGAGTGGAAATTGATAAAGTAAAACAAATTGATAAAGTAGCCCCTTATGAATGGAAACAGAATGTTCAACCTTTAAGAAAGGCAATTCACACTG